CGGCGCCGCTCGGCTCGTCCCGCGGCCCGCTCCTGGCGGGGCCCTGAGACACCCCCGTGCCCGCTCCTGAGCGGGGAGAGAGGCCCCGAGCCCCGCAGCCTCGGGTCGGTATGGCTACGCGGCGCCAGCGGCGGGAAAAGGGCAGCCTGAGTGCGCTTATCCGTCCATCCTCATATGGCTCCACACTCAACGCCTGTCAGCACGACCCCCGCCTCCCCCGCAGGGACCCGGGTCCCTCTCCTCAGGTCACATTCCTGCATCCACTTCTCTCTGCCTCTCTCTCAGTCAACCGTATCCGCACCGCTTCCCCCTCCCCCACTGCTCTCTCGCGCTCACCTGTTACATATGCTACTTCAGATGCTGTCAGTCTGATGCCCACTCACACTCTTCGCACACTCGCACACTCGCTTGTCTCATGACACAGAAGGACCTCTTGGCTCCATGTCTGCGAGTCTGACTCCCAGCAGCCCGTGGATTCTCTGATGTCCTTGGCTTGTGGTGAGGGTTTCTGGGCTGCTACCCGGATGTTCCCGTGAGGAGAGGTTACTGCTCAGAGTTCTTGGATGAGCTCAGGTACAGAAGATACCCCTGTGCGCTTTAACACACGCGGGCCACTCACACATTCTTTGTCTCTGTTTCGTAGCTCTGCTGAGCTCACTGCCTGCACTGACAGGCAGCACCCGAGAGGGTTGCACGGTGCTTGTGCACACACCCACATGGTTCTTGTGCACGCACCCACACAACACCAGGCCCCAGGCCAGCCGGTATTATTCTGCCTGGTTGAGATTAGCAGAGTCACTTACCCAAATATGTCTTAGGGAAGAGAGTGAGAGAGAGTAGGGAAGGGGAGAGAGAAAAGAGAGAGGAGAAGCCACTACCCATTCTGGGGAAGACTCCCAGATGAGAGCTGTTTCCAGTTGGTAAATATCCTGTTGAATGTAGTAGCCCCACCCCCCACCCCCCATGTCCCCTCTGTGGGGGACCTGGCTGGGAGGCAGTAGGCCAGAGTTCTGGGCTCTCCTTACCTCACTGATGTTGGACCTCAAGTCTACCAGAACCTCTTTGCCCCAAGGAGTGTGTACCCTACCATCTACCGGGCAGACTACCATACCTCAGTTGTAGGCCTTTCTCCTGGTTGAGCCTAATTCAGGGAGAAGAGACAGAGGGGGCTGGTTCCTGGGCCATGTGAGGACCTGCCCCTTCTGCAGACCTCTGGGATGCTGCCAGAGACAGAATTCTAGGGTGGCCGGAGCTGCTGACCAGCTTCCTCTGATATCCCATGGCCGTGCCCGCCATGGCCCAAAGCCATTTTGTTCAGCCCTGAACGCTGAGTACCTGCCACCAGGCCCCAGCACTTGCTTGGCAGCATGATGTGTTGTTGTTTAAAGTTGCCTGGTTGCCTTTCCCCACACCCAGTATGCAGGCCTTGATGGGCAGAGACTCTGTCCTCCACTTCTCACTCAGTGCTTCCCCCCAGGATGGGCTGGATACATTCTAGTGGAATTGGAAAATGACTCTGCTCCACAGAGGGAATTGAGAAAGGCCACTTTCCTTGTAATGAAGCTGATTTTCCAAGAAAGTGACTGCAGGTGGGGGAGAGTGGCTGGACCTCTGAGGGCCAGCTCAGAATTCCAGAGTCCTCTGCCATTTGGGGCTATCTGTGCATTACGGCTGCATAGGCATGCTGCTGAGCCTTAGCCAAGGACATAGGACACCTCGCTGGTTCCCTGATCGTGGTGAGGACCTGCCTGAAACATTCAAACTACACTTTACTGGGAATAGAGAGGCCTCTGCATCTGCGCCAGCTGGGTTGCAAGGTAAGGCCTGCTGTCTGGAGCCCCAAGCAGTGCCATGAGGGGACATTCATCTTGGTCCTCATTCCCAGCTCAAGTTTCTCTACGTATTTGGGCACTGTCTAAAGAGACTCCGTGCAGGAGAGCAGTTTAGATGCCTAGCTT